AGAAAGCAGGCTCATTTTAATTACACATTGTTCAAAACCTAATTTTATGCAATATTTTATTTTACCGTAATAATTGCAAAAAAAACATTTTGAAATAAAACTTTTTTCTTTAATGAACATTTTTTTTCACCTACTATATTTGTATAAATTATAAGTGACCTACATTAACAGTGAAAATCAGCAAATAAGAATTAAAACAGCGAATCCATTATTTTATTTTATATTCAAATGCCTTCAACCAGGATAACACTGTCCGCATATAGTTAGAGTATTCAGAAGTTGGTCCTGGCAAAACATTAAAAACATTGAAATATACTCTTAAAAATATTTTTTTTTCTCAGATGATAAAAAACTTTTCTCTATTCCACTTTCCATGTATGATTATTACTGTTATTTTCAAAGGTTATTGTTTTTATTGTTTATTTTCGACCCATTTTGGTATTATTCTCAAACTTGAACAGTATAGATAAAATTGATTACAGTACTTAAGTAAAATAAATTTTTACAAATATCTTTTAGAAAGTGAAAATAGTACAAGCATTTTAATTTAAATGCCAGTGCTTTTTATACTTTTTATCTTTGATTGCTTTCTCTGGCAATCATCAATAAATGGGTCGAAGAAAACAATTTTCTTAGACTTATAATTTTCTCATTAAGATGGATTCTTTTGTAGTTCGTAATTAATTATATACGACTTGCACCTAAGTGAAGCTTCATTGATTACATTACACGTTGTCACTCATTTATCAATGTTATTAAATACTGGCAACAGATGCAATTAAGTTTATGCAATGACTTGTTGTCATGGTTGATACAGTATAAATCATCATCATATTAATTCATGTCATGGTGTTCCCTTTCATGGGTTTTGTGCAACAGTCTAGGATAAATATATACCTGGATATTAAAACCAACATGTACCTTTCAGTCATCAGCTCAAAAGAAATAATATTTTAAGCAGGTTCTATCTGAGAGTTGTTATATCCTTTGAAAGTAGCATATACGTGATTTTGTGTTTTTTATAAGAACTAGTAAAATTTTGCCCAGGCTCACTGTTCTTATGTTTAGGCTAATTTCAGACTCAAAATGTTCTTATTTTGTTCTTATGTTACACACTTTAAAAAAAAAAGCTATTATTGAAAAGCAGTATACTACAGTACTGTACGGGAATGTAGTTAAAAGTGGCTCAGAAAAAAATTATCGTGAAAAAAATAGCCCCAAATGACAGGAGGTACACCTACTGTTGTAGTATAGAGGGTGTTACAACACCTACCGTACTGCATATAAAGTACAGATATATATAGTTAATTAGTTTTTGGATTTTCTAGTTTAAAAAAAAAATAGAAATCTCATTTGACATTTTACCTCAGACTCAATTTGATCTAATTTCATTCTCAATTTTTAAGCAATTTTACCCTCAGTGTTCTTATAAAGTGTGTTCTTATAATAAAAATAACATTAAAGTGTAATTTATTTATACAATTAATTCCAAGATCTCAGACATGCCAATGGAGAGATATGAACACCATCAAGGTATATACTGTACCTGTACCTGTGTAGCATAATGAGTGACTATTTGGGCCAACGACATAAGTTAACTTAAACCTTATTAATGTTATGCATCTCAATAGTTCCATTTTTTGAAAAATTGTAAATGCATATGTGCCATTTATTTATAAATGTTTCTCACATCCGTCAAAAGCATAGAATCATAGAAATAATTAAGTTTTTAGCACAAGGAAAAATTGGTAGATATATTAATATACATGTTTGGAAATAAGGTTTACAGTACATATAATGCTATAAACATCATCTGAAAAAAGTCAATAGAGGCTTCTTTATTTCTATCCCATCCAAATGCTTTTCATTTCTACCAAATGACTCTTTACCAAATGCTGCTTTTTTTTTACCAATACCGCTTGCTTTCCAAATCACCTTTACTATTCCAACTAAATTGCTTTCTGTACCATATGTTTTCTTGTCTTTCAAAAGTCTTCTTTCTCTACCAATCCTGCCTGCATAAAATTAACTTTCCTTTATTCAATTGCCTTCTTTTCTACTGAATGCCTTTACCAAAATCTTCTACAATCAAACAATGTTGAAGTTCAACGCAAGTTCATACCTTCCAAATACCTTTCAAATACACTATTGTTCTAAAGCATGATGATTAAAGTACAATGAGAAATTGTAATATTTAACAATAAAAATAATATTTTTACAAAAAATTTACTATTTATATTCTAGCATTTTGAATGTATTTTTATTAAATTTTTATGACATAGGCATATAAAATATTGATGAATTTCAATGCTGCAAATATCCATTTCAAGCAAATATTATATTTATAAAATTCAAAAGCTGTATGGAAGTTATTTATTGATATTATTAAAATGCAGGGCAGTTTTTCTATAAATTATGAGCAATTAAAAAAGAACATAAGATCGAAAATCGATTGTAGATTGTATTTGTAGTATAAATGCGTAGACTAAATGGCTACCGATGAAATCCAACCACCGCTCAAGGGAATTGTATTGCATTATACCTGACTTTCAAGTTGTATTCTGATTTGAATAGATTTTTTTTTTCCCAATGGTTAATGGCATGTATGTATAAGCTTTATTTCCTATTAATTTTGCTCTTTTTGCTCTCTGTACCATAATTAGGCCTACATTAACCCCAAGTTAAAAATATCTTCCAAAAGTGGATAGAAATTTTATGTTAACCACTGTAGTTTCCTGATAAAAAATAACTATATCTTAAAATTTCAATATATATAAATGCCATGTGTTAAAATAATATAATAGGATACAAATATTTTCACCCTATTAGAAAAATTCTTAATCTGCTCCTGAGTTTATTTTACATATTTGTTAAATTTCAATTTTTTGGCACTCTCTCAACATTTCCAAAATTAATATTTTGAATTGAATATTCAATTAAATAAAGTAGACATAAAATTGCTCATGCCAGCATTAGACTGATTAAAATTCTTCATATAAATGTTGATCTGGTCCCCAAGTAAGAACTGTGTCTTTACACTGATAGTTTTTTATAAACTGATAAATTTATTTTATATTGTCCTGAAAAAATAGTGATTCTTTATTTTGTTTTGTTTGTTTTAATTTGATTGTCTGGTTATTTTTTTGCAATTATATTCCATAAAAATTGAAATCCATTCAGAGGAATAAATGGATGGTTAAATGGGTGGATAAATATATAAATCTTGTTTTCATCGAATGACGACATTGAGGTTAATAAAGGGATAATGTGAGATTAGTTGGATTAGCCCAGTTTGGATATATATAATTGTCATTATGTAAGATAATTTAAAAGTAATTGCAGTATAGAAATAGAGCAAAAGAAATAAAATGAACTGCTATGGCAATTCAACCAATGTTCTCCAAAGTATGTATTGGCACTATTCCAAATGATGCCAATTGAACTAAATCGCTGTAGTTGGTAACAGTGGTGTCTAATATACATTCAGGAGGAAAATTATTGGGCCATTTTAGGATGTTCTGACATTGGCAGTATTATTGCTCAGCCTAACATCGAAAATTTTACATTGTTGAATTCTATTCATGGTTTAAATGTGTGTTTTGATCTACTATAAAAGTGTTATACCAGAGAGAGTGTCCTACTGTTAAATCACCACCCTCCAAATATGTCTCTTTTTGGACTGATAAAACATGGCTGACAGTGACAGGAAGGAGGCTTAAATTCCCTCCCTTTGCTGGCAACCACCAATAATCAGCAATGCCGAAATTCACAGTGCTATAATACTGTACACCATTACTAAATGGGAATGTAAGACTGGTTTCTTCTAATGTGAAATACAAGTACAGTACAGGGATAACCCCTAGAACACATTGGCACGTCAGAATTTTGAATTGCTTAGATATGTTTCCAGTTAGATAACCACGTTCACATCTATTTCCCTGCAAAATCTCCCATGGCATTTTGGATTTATTTTGAAATATTGGGGATTTGGGAAAACAGTCGTTAAACATCCTAAATAGCAATTTGTACTCGCAAGCTAATTACAGACACATTCATGTATTACTGAGGACGTAAAATGTGCAATAATTATCCTTGTAATTAAAGATGGATCAAAACACATTTGTTTATTCGTTTATTGATGATTAAGATACAATGTGAGAAGATTTATTATTCTTATTTTTATTTGTGTAGGATAACTCATAAATCAGTTGTGTCAAGTCGTTGTGTCTCGAGAGGAATTTAATGTGTTGGTGTTTATTTAAGCATGCATTGTGTGAAGAATCGAGCACACGTTTTTATTATCTAAAACTACAATAATAAATATTATTGATAGTTATTAAATTTTTCCTGAAGGTAGACCATGTGTAAGAATATGGTTTTTGAGATAAAATCTCAGGTTGGTTATTTCACCATTAATCGTAGACTTTGAAGTCTGATTTCTCAAATATTTACTATAAACAGCTGTAGGTTTCAATTCCTGTAACTTCATAACGAAATGTTGGATTTAAATTATTCTTTTTGCCATTTTATAGCTCTCATTTTATTGCAAACCTGTATTAATAAATAACTAAAAAAAGGCATGACTGATGTGGCTTGTCTTTGCCACATTTTAATCCTGTAAGCATAGTTGGTAATCGTATCTCTCAGATGTCATTTTTTAATATTCTAATTTTTCTTGTTTTATATGTTGTCTTATACATATAAATTTAAATTTTGATTTAATTAAAATTTGGTTTGCACCTAGAGTGTGTACTAAGTTTGTTTATATCCTATATCTCTTTTAAATATTTCCATATATTGTGTTTATTTTATTGGTTGGTGGGGTATTTGGATAATCACATTTTCAGATAATACTTATTATAATTTTGTCTGTCAGCTTCATTTCAATATATTTCTAAATGCCAAAAGATATATATTTTTATGAAATTGGCTGTATCATTGTCTTATTATTGGTGACTTCGTATTTTTTTATGGATTTATTATTCTTTTTTTTTTCGCAGAGTACCAAGGGAATATGAAACACTCCCAAATCACTTTTATTTTTCCGATATTGAAAGACACAATGCAGAAATTGCAGCTTTCCACTTGGACAGGTAAGATAGTAAAAATTTGCTTTTAAACATCATTTCATTGCTCATTAACAGTGGTCCAGGAATTCAAATTAGAAGGAGCCATGGAGGCACTTCAACAGGTAGGGTCTAGACCACCTCAGCCCCACCGTGGCTAGGGGTGAGGTAAGATTATGGCACCTCTGATGACGAAAATGTCACTCTCAGACTTATTGAATCTGTCACTGCTTTTCTCTATATCATTTTTCGGTTCCTTCTCTTAAGGTAACCTACATCATCTACAGTATTTCCCCATTCCACAACCTTTTTAGCCCACAGCCCAAATTAAATGTCAAGCACTCAGACATGACCCATCGGACCCAAAGGCCAAATTTATCACCTAAATTTAAATATAAAATGATTGAATATTGATGATAATTGATTGTTAATAAATCTCATTCGTGACAGGAGAGATCAGAAGAACCATGCCAACTTGTTTCTTTTGTCAATTAAAAGATACCACATCATTCATAAAGGATTCTTCATATCACCCACAAAATATATTACCCTAAAAATAGCCTAATGAAATTATTAACTTTGAATTACTCATATATTTTATTATACAGAACCACATATGTTATCAAATTTTGCAGATTTTTTTTACAGCAAAAATGCTTAAATTTGCTACCAAATATATGGGTTTGCTGGAAGACAGTAGACACATTTAATTGTTATTATAATTTTCATCTGAAAGCCAAACACACTGATATAAACAAAACTATGGGCCTGTTTCTACTGACAAAATACAAAAGTACGGTATTCAGTGAAACTGGTTTTCATAATTGTTTATAAACAAAGACCGCATTGCAGTTTAATTTTAACACGAACAGAAACCGGTTTCTCCTAAGGAGGTCGTTGTGCATTGACGTCATTTTTACCCACAGCGAGTTCGTTAGGCAGAAGTGCGATGAAGCGTGGAAATTTCCAGGTCAACAGAAATTCATTTGGTCGAAGTAATCTAATTCGTCGAAAAAGGGGCAGGTGATGCAGTCGTTCCCCGATCGGTTATTATGGTCCTTCGTCTGCGTATACACGCGACGCAGTCTCTTCAGCTTGCTGGTGGCCTGTGCAGCGGTGATCTGCACACCAAATTGCTTATTTACTTCAGCAACCATTTTTTTATACACCAGATTATCTTTGCAGCTGCCGACTAGCCTCCCCCTCATCTTTTCCTCCCCCCACAGATTAATCACTAGTCTTGTGATGGCGTCGGTCCAAATTACGCCCGACATTACTGGTACGTTTGCTAAATCAAAAAATTAAAATACACACTTCAAGCCAAGATGAGAGTTGTTTACGAGTACCTTGCTAGGTCAGGTCAACTTGTGGTCAAACTGAGACCGCTATTGCGTTGCAGCTAAAAAGTGCTTGGTGAATACGGGTTTGAGTACGGTATTTGGCGATCAAGACCAGATTCAATTGGGGTTTTCAAAACCGGTATTTGAATTCAGGGTTTTTTTTATGGGACCCATTTCCACTGACAAGAAAATATGGATCTTTGAGAATACTGGTCTTGAAACCGGAATTCTATTCTCAGCAGAAACAGGCCCTACAAGAAGTACCGGTAGTTGTTTTGATAGTAGCTTATATTATTGAAAATGAAACTATTGATAACACATGCATTACAAAAGTAAACAAATGCATATTTCTTTATTACTATGATTTTGATTTCGTTTGTTTTTGATCATATTTTAGTAAAATTTCCACAAGAGATGCGACCCATCAAAAATTTTTCCACAACCAAAATATTGGGTTACGACCTATAGGTTGCGGAACAGTGATCTATTTCAATATCATATCTTCATTGCCTATCACATCTATATTTCCTCATCTTAACATTATTTTCAGTTTAGATATTTCAACATCATTTCGGCTCATCTTCATCTCTATCAATTATTTTGATAATTTCAACATCATCCTTCTCAACATTTATGTTTTTCTAAACATCATCTCCAATAGTTCATATCAATGTCATTTTAATTCCTTGTACATGTGTTTTCACAATTCACATTTCTTGAAGTTGAAGCCTTCAAATTTCAAATCTCATGGGTTTCAGTTGTGGTAATATCTGTTATTAGTCTTCTAAAATATTATGAAGCGTGTTAATGAATTCCTGACTATTAGCTGTCCGTGTGTATTCTTCAACCATGTTTTAAATATTTTATGCATCATATGGCATTTCATAAGTTGCAGAGTTTTTTTTGTACTCTTCCTTATTTGATAAGTTAGACATAAACCAGGCCTGTACCTGGATTCAAACTGTATTGTGATTTGCAACCGCTTCCACGTAGCTATCAGCATGCATTGTTTCATAGGCTGGATGGTGAAGCAAATTCACACTGGGGGTTTCCTGTGAAATCCAGGGGTCCAGTTGATACATAGGTATCCTTGTGGGATCTAAGAGAAAAGCTTGTTGGAAGGGGGTGGGTGGGAATCACAGGAGGCTAAAAGCATTATAATCATGTACACAGTATCATTAATGCAAAGGGAGGAGTGGTTTTGTTTATTAGAAGGGGCTTTGGTTGAAAGGCGGTTCAGCCAAACCATAGAAAGCATTCTCCTGATTACATACCTGTAATTATGCATGTAATACATTGGAGAGTACTAAGGATGTTTGAGTTTTACAGTGCATTAAAGAAAAACATGCAGGCTCGCAGAAAATGAGCGTAATCATTTGAGGAGTTCAATCAGCTAAAGTTCCACATGAAGTAATTATTGTCCGTTTGAATTTTTGAGCCAGTGTCCTAACATACCTTTCTGTAAATTACATTTTTAGATGATAAATGAATAAATGAATCTCAATTGAATAAAATCATCCATTACACTGATTGCTACATTGGGATAATGGTAAAAAAAAATTGTTATTGTAATTCATTCTTGCCAAGTTCAAATCAAATGTTTTATATAAACTTCAAGAAATAGGACATCTTATAGTATGATTACATTATGACTGATCGATCCACATAGAATTGATTGGGGAGCTTATGATTGCACAATGTGGTAGGAAGTAAAACATAATGATGTCACTAAAAAGTGTTTTGCACATGCGAGAATGTTAAGGTCTTGTCGCATGGATTTTAGGACATAATTTGACCAAATCTAATGTACGTTGTGCAGAGAACGTAGGGCAGTCATATCCGAGTGAATCCATTCTAGCGTCGCTTTTTCGCGCAAATCGAAAGCTCCCTAGTGTTGCTACAGAGATACTTGCGCCAGGTATTAAATTTTGCTATACAGTTACCGTACTCATGTGAATAATCACCCCGTGTGGATAAGCGCCCCTCTTGAATAAGCACCCCTCCTAATGTGAAAATTGTCTTTAGCACCCAATTTGAATAAGCACCCTTCTCAATTTTGAATAAGCGCCCCTCGATTCCTAAAAGAATTCAGTTATACAGTACAGTACAGTACATCACCACCTTAATTTTCTGCATCAACTATTCGCATCTATCTTAGCATTGTCGGTCTGTCAGTCCAACTATCAATCTCCATGAAGTTTAACAAGGTTTTCAGTTTTGATGCATCTTTAGAATCCCATTCTTTATTTATTGCTACTCTTTTTGGATTTAGAACTACAGTATTTAATATCTAAAAAAAAATAAAATACTGTATGGCCATTTTCAGTCAACAAAAATTTACTGACTCTGTTTGAATAAGCGCCCCAAAAAAAATAATAATTTAAGTGCCCGGGCGCTTATTCGCGCGAGTACGGTATTTAAGTTTAAATTTTTATCTTCTCTCTTTGTATTTATTCAAGAAAGAAAATATATATTTGTAGACCTATATTATGAACTTCAATTTAATCTGAAACAATATAACAATATGAGGTTTTGATGAATTCCAGAGGAAATAAATGATAATGTGAAGTGCCGTAGCCAGCTGTTGAGACGGTTGGGACAGTCACACATGATTTTTCTAATGGGTGACTTTAAAAAAATGGGTCCAAATTATGCAGTTTTATGCATAAAATGAATCCACTTTTTGAAAAATGGGTCCAGATTTCTCATATGTAACTTAAAATGGGTAAAATTTTAAGAAAATAGAACTAAATTTTTCAAATTTTTGCGTGAAATGGGTTAACTTTTAAGAAAACGGGTCCACATCATTTGAATTTACGTGTAAAGTAGGTCCACCCTGATGCTGTCCTGCATTGTTTAAAAACCCTGGCTGCTGCATTGATAGAGGACTTAACAATATCCTCTATATAAGTCTACCATTATTATTATTATTATTATTATTATTATTATTATTATTATTATTATTTATTATTATTATTATTATTGTTATTATTATTATTGTTATTATTATTATTATTATTATGATATATACATTTTCCTGACATGAAGGTAAAGGTAAAGTAACTTTTGTAAAACCATTATAAAGATGTATTATTTTTGGAGAAAATTGGTTTCTTATGCACTAGATAAATATAATCTTGAAAATATTTAATTTTTGAGGTGGTTAATTTTTTTCCCTCTCTTCTACTGTTTTTTTATTGCTATGTATTACTTTAATAAGGTTCTGTTGACAGCTTGAAGACGATTTCCCATTAATGTGTGTCCTAGCACATACAGTAAACAAATCATCCTTCATTGCCTTTTTAATGAGCTCTACTTCTTCCAGTAGGTGTATCTTGATCGCATAGATTTTTGGTCGCTATCATATAGAATTACTCTACACACAAGTAGAAGGCAAAAATAGATGCCTTTAAGAAGAGTGGAAACATCAGAAGAGGGTCGGTCAGATTTTATTCCGTTAAGCATATCTGGAAATAGTATTGCATCTTTCTTAGCGATGCTTAGATATGTTATAGATCCAACCGGATTACTTAGAATATACTATATCAACAATTCTCAAGAGACAACAGAAATTTTTATGGCAGTACATCAATGTGCAACTATTTGAAAGAAGTTGAAAAATAGAGCCAAGTAACAGAAACTATCGTAGGTTCACTGTAGATCGTGGATGGAAATACAACAATTATGTTGGCCTAATGATGATGTATATAATATCTTGATTTAATGAAAGTAACATGTTTTTTTGGAAAATTTATGTTTATTCAGACTGGTTATTGTTATGTTATTGAATTTGTAATGTAATCATCTCTACTCTAGTTCATTCACATTCATGACCAAGTTCATTTGCAGAATGGGCATTTTGTGTGGGAGGCAAGTTAGGTGATGTCATTAAATTTTTGTGTGACAAACTTAATTAATGTTTGATCAAACTTTAAACAAACTGAAAGATTTCAAGTCTGAAACAAGCACATTTTGCAGAGATCAAATTTATGCAGTTTTGAAACTGCACAAAGAAATCATTGTGCCATTTTAGACTACTATAAATGGAATCTGGTGCAGTTCTACTGGTCTAGCTTTTATTATTTTTTCCATTGCAGATGTAAAAAGTATGATCGTCTTTTTAGTTTTCACATCAAAATTTATCAACTGGAATAATATAACTTCATTCTGTATTACTAATTGAATACCAACAATTATTAATAACTTATTAATGATGCCTTTAACTTGAGCAGCAACATGTTTTATGGGAATTGGCGCAAATTTCACAAAGTGCGCAATTATGCACAAAAACAAAAAAATCGAATCCAAATTAATTTGTAAAGCTTTAATGAGTTGAGCTCTTCTTATTGTTTGGAAAAGCTTGACATTTTAAGGGATTGAACCGAAAATCTTGAGATTGGACGATGTGCGTCGTAAACACTATGCTATAAATCTTAATTTAACATATCATTTTTTTTTTTTACATATAGAATTCTTGACTTTAGAAGAGCACCACCAGTTACAGGCAGATGGTTTAATTTGACATCCGAAGTGTACGATCTTGCAGATTCTTCACTACGCAAGACGTTTTTTAGATCTCCAGGTAACCCTATGCAAATATAGATTATTCTCTTATTTTATTTTATATTATTTTAGCTTCCAACAAATAAATGTGCCACTATAAAATTGCAAATACCTATGATCTGCCCCTATAGGAGTATTAGGACATTATCGTGTCCATATAAGGATGTGATATGACATCTTCATAGCCCATTTGAATTAACACAAATTTTGTTGCATAAATCTACCGTTAGTTAGCTTAGTGTTAACATATAACTCATCTTGCGGAATGAAACTAAAAAACAACTCATATATGGTAATGCAACCTATTTTCACTTTTGATGCAATTATAATGGACAAAAAAGTATTTACAAATGGAATTGAAATGCAATATTTATAATATAAATTATGATTGAAATGGGTCAATGGGAAAAATATGTAATAAAATATTCACTCTCTGTGAAAAGACTAATCTTGGCTCTTGCAAAAGTAGGCCAAGCTCTATATTGTGCCAGAAGCTATAATTATTCAAAATAGCTTTCGGAATGTTGCATCGTCACATAAGTATTTAGTGCATTAAGATGTTTGCCATCGGAGTACTAAACATGGTTCAAAAACAAGGTTGCATGGATTTACAGAATTTACCATTTGTTTTGGCAAGAAACTCACAAAATGTGTAATATAGCTATGTAATATAGTGTCTATGAAATGAAAATAGAAAGGCACAGGAAGGTAATTTTTTAGATGCAGGGGTCCCAAGTCTCCCGGAATTCGCAGGAGTTTCCCAGAAATTGGGATGGCATTCTGCACTCTCACATCCAAGCAAGAATCTCCCAGAAAATAACCTATTTCCCGCAAATTCATAATATCTGCATGTTTTTACTTTATTATTGTCTTATGAAAGTCAGTGTCGATGGGTATCACCATTCTATGCTGCTGCTCATCATCGTCTGTTCAGCATTTGCACAGCAAAATAAAATTGAATATGTTAAGAAATCTCCTCCAGATCTCCCTAAATTGGATTTCTTCCAACATGGTACCATTGCAGATGAAGGATCCGTACTGTCTCAGCTCCACCATTGTTGGGTGATGTTCAAAATTCTATGGCTGTGGCATTTTTTGATGGCTGGTATTCTAGCCAAAGCAGTACAACTAGCTAGAGTTATTTGTTTATTATTATTGGCCATGAGTCCATCGTTGAGGTTGGCTGATAGGTAAATGGTAAAGGCCTAAAAAAAGTTTGCCCTGCTGAATATTGTATAGAAGGGGCAGGCGCAAAAAGGTATTTTTTTTTTCTCCTATCACCAAAATTAACATATTAAATTTGCAATGCTTGTAATTAAGCCTGTCTATTGACCACTATTTGTTGTTCAAAGGGTTCATCAGACTGAATAAAAATAACCCATAATCGATATTCTGCAATGAATTTAGGGCTAAAATCATGTGGCGATACCTTACATCAGGCACCAAATTTAGACAACTTTCATGTGCAAAATGGAGAAAAATAAAGATCACTTTTTAAAATTTGTGAACAAAAAAATAAGAAAAAAAAACTTTTATTAAAAATGTCGCCCCTATTTTTCCGTGAGCTAGGGGCGGGCGCTGGAGGGCAAACAAACAATTTTTTTTAAGCCTAATGTTTTTGGATCTTGTACTGAAGACCCCTGTTGAAATCCTTGAATAACTCCCACATAAAAGCTAGGCAGGATAGGCACATTAGATATTGTACTGGTGCTGCCCTATTTTATATTTCAAACTATATTATGTTCATTCTTTATTTAAGCAAGGAGGTATGAGTAAAACTTTAATAATTGTTAAAGAATTTTATCCACCCAACTTTTAGTGCTGTTCAAGTATGTAATTGTAGTATATATTTGTATACATCAACTGACTTTGGAATGATTTAACAATAACATCAAAACATTCTTCAAGAGTTATGTCCATTGTTGTTGAAAGCACACAAAACATAGAGATATAGCTTTTCTCTATGACAATATACATATATATGTTAGACATCAAAATACTCTTCAAGAGTTTTTTCATTGGTATCCAAAGCACACAAAACAGAGAAAGAATTTTTTCTATGAAATTATATATTTATTTATATTATATATATTTATTTGTTAATTTAAAGAATGTCATAAATGTCTTAAAATTAAAACTTAATAATAGATTATTCCATAAAACGCATAATAAAAAATGTTCGTACTTGTAGATAATTAGAAATTTTAAATTATAACTTATATTAAAATATTTCATTATTCAAGCTACACAAATTAATTTATTAAGAACACACAAACACTATATCATAGTTTTGTTTTCAATTTACCAAGTTTACTGTTTATTGTTGTTTAATACTTACAGTATTAACCAAACTACTTGAGAATAAGCTGGTACTTTACTTGAGTTCTAAGGATTAAGACACAACAATAAAAAAAATGTTAAGAACAACAGAATTCAAACAAAAACAGACTAATTTTAAGTTCTGTGGTTTACTCAGAGTTACACCACACCATCTGGTTGAAACAAAACCCCAAGAAATTTGTGAATCAACAACAAAAATATTTTTTCTCCTATTGATCTGACTCCACAATTTCAAGGACTGTACACATTGTCCATATTATTGATCCTCTCTGTTAATCAATAAACCATATAATTATGATCATGTTTGAAAATCAATTTAAAGACTATATTTAATGTTGATGAGTAGTTTGGATTGTAAATAAAAACATTCAGAAAAAATTAATTGTATCTGACAATCAATATTAAGACCATGTTTGCAAAACAATATAAAGAGTTTATTGTTGTAAAACAGTGGGATTGTAAATAATAAAAAAAATCCTTCAGAGGAAATTAATTTTGACTGACCTACTGTGGAAATAAATATTAATTTTTATACCTATACTTTATTAAATTTTGAGAGTATACAACTAAACAAACAAGGCTAAAAACTCATTCTTCATTTGAGTTAATGACAGGGGATGATTGGGAGGGGGGGCTGGCCAGGTCACCCCCCCCCCCCTTTTGGAAAGCAGAAAAAAAATTGATTGCCCAAAATCAGGTTATTTTCTTGAGAGTCTAAAAAACAAAAGTTTTGCAGGGGCATGCCCCGGATCCCGTAGGATAATATTTTCTAAATCAGCCCCACTTTTGGACACCCCATTTAGGACATCTCTGGATCCGCCCCTGAATAGGCAGGCCCACAGTTAAATAAAATTATCAAAAATTATTATATTTAATTATTTCCACGTTTTATGATTATTATAGTGACCTAGTTTTGAATAACGTATTTTCCATCTAGAGATGCTGACGCCATTTAGGGCTGGAGGCATTCTACAACAATTAGACATGAGCGTTCTTTTCTTTGAATTCTGTATTTCTACTGAATTTTTAATATATGATAAAGGTAGATAATACTGTAGAGTAATAATAAATTATTAATTATCCTAAATCATATTGATAACATCAGCAAAAGCTTGCAGCCAGTCCATTGTGCTTGGTTTACTATCGATAAAACAGATGAAACTATTCAAATATTTAAAGCACAATAAGTCAGCTTATAAACGTAGCACATCATGTGGTAGCTGTTGTTCTTCGTGTTGCATTCTCGATAGAATCGCGTCGGCCGACAACTGTTAGATGCAGTGGGTGCTTAATGTATTGGCAGATCGTAATCAGCTTTTTTATCTACCAGATACCAATTTACTTACTGCTTTTGGGTTCTTTTTTGTCCCAAGATTACAAAAAAGTGGTAAACTTCAGATTTGAACCACTGAATTGTTAAATTAAAAGTCTAAAACTTCACCACATTTAATTTACATTATTTCATACCAATCCAAAAAATCATAACCAATCAATGAAGAACTTAAAAACTCAAATACATTAATGTTGCTTTCCTTGTAACACCGCAAAGAACCTCTCACATGGTGCCCCATTAATGTGGTTTCCTGCACTTCTCCTTCGTCTTGTATACAGTATTTTTTTGTACCGTCGGCCTACAGCTAACAGATTTAAAGTATTTACCAGATCACCTCCATAAACCTGATTTAACGCACAATAAAAGTACGCCTATGTTTACATATTAAAATAAAACAAATACTAAGGTACAGAAAGGTCAAGAAAAGTATGAATTGATAATATAAGAGATTGTATATTTTAAATTATTATATCTGTTATCTCCTTAAATCGTTGTTCCTATACAATCCATAAACAGAAATTTTTGCACCATAATCTGCCTAAATGCGCCACATTTTAAAGGCCTCTATAGGACTTGTTACAAAACCCAAAGTTTCTTTCACAGAATGAAACTGTCTATCATTACCGATTTCTATTATCAAACTACTTCAGTTCTGATGAGTCAGCCATTTTGGCTGGATGCTTACTGTACATCGGTGTGACTCACATAGAAAGGAGAGTGCGTAGCTGTTCTTTGGTCTACGAGTCACTTGTTGCAACTTGGTGCTGATGATGTCACGATTTGACTACTGATGGCCTATGTTGGAATTATGTTAAGTTGAAAAGCAGTGCAAATTAGAATATTTTTTTTTCAAAAATTACCTAGGCTTGGCAAAATGTTTAAATTTGATCCAACTGCAAGAAAAAATAAGATACGCAAAACAATTTCTTTTACTGTATTGTATTAACTGCTGCAGTATTATTTGCAGTACGTGGTGGGATATTGCATTACAAATTCTGTTTGTAATATTTCAAAGCAATTTAAATATTTGATGATCAACTATTCTGCTATGATCAGTGAATTGTTAACTTAAGGATTTTTACTATATATTCTTGTTTTACCTTAGTTAAAATTGGTGATGTCACCTTTAGATAGTGGGCATAGAGTTTGGCACAACACAGTTGTTTAACATATGATCATGGGCTTGTATTGTCCACAAGGACGGTGTCCTTTATGCCCCATTTTTTCATGCTTGCTGCAAAAACATCCAGCTCCAAACTGTAGCCTGTTTAGATGCACCTAAGCCTTTTTCTTAGAAGGATTGAATTTGTCACTTCTATTTTTATTGGGCCTAGGTAGACATTTCCTGATGCTGTCAATTATTATTAGTCGTCATTTAGTTGAAATAGATCTCGAATACAATAGACAACTGTTGTAATACATTTTAATGTAGTAAAGTTTTGTATAATGTTCATAAATATTTCGCGTCTCTTCATGTGTTTATTGATGGAATTGTGTTCAACACGAGCAGATGGCAAGAATGTATTTACTAATGTTCTGCAGGAAAAAGCTAGAAACAACTTGTTTTTAATAAGTCGATTTACAGTCAATGAACATACTATTTTGGAACAATTAAGTTTAAAATAATTTACATACATTTTACTACAAAAACGTTTAATAAGCAGCCAATTTATTGGTATTTTTTACAATTTCATTTATCGAGCGCTATTTACATAGATATTACGACAAAACAAGCAAAATTTAAAAAAGCGCAATACAAACAAAAAAAATCAAAACAACTCAAGCACATTATCTAATAAACTGTTGTAAGACAGAAAACAGCCATACATTTTATGGTGTTAGTTTATTAATTTTGGGTACTTCGCAATGTCTGTTACATCTGATTTCATTTGACAACCAGCTTGTTAATTGCTTCTATAAACTACAATTTGATTTGTGAAACTTGATAAACAAAATGAAAAGTTATAGCAAATGAAATTTACGAATAAAAATTCATGTTCTTATATAACAATTAAACTGTGATTTTGACAATGTTGGATTAAGGTGCTCAAAACGAACATTTGAGTAAATACAGAAAATTTATTTATTTTTTTCTGCAAAGTGAGTCTCATGAGCCACCGAACACCACCTCATTCGTAAAATTAATGTCGATATACCAAATGTAATTTCAGTCTAATGTTAATGCAAACATTCATTAAGCCTTTGTAACCACCGCACGATGCACGATTATCATGGCAACAGAAACATGCGTGGGTAATTCGTCACACGTTGATGGTTAATGTTGGTGTAGTTGCTATGATTTCTGTGAGGATCTGCGTGTAGGAGCGCTTGGCGCGTAGAACGTCGATGCCAGAGTTATATCCTTTGATGTCTCAAGATGTGTGTCCTTTTGTTAAATTGCCTTGGTTTTACTCTGTCTTGTGGGACCTAAGCTAAAATATCCAAGGGGGGTGGGACTTAGTGGACAGGTACATTGTTATTTGCCTACTCTACAACTAGCAGTCTTTTTAAAGGGTTTTTAGTAAATTTACCTGTTTTCTCTTGACCTTCTGATTGTTTTTGTATATTTCTGAAGTGTAAGTGGTAAATTTATATTAGTTCTTTGAGTGGATTTATATTAGTTCTTGGAGTGGATCAATATCTATAAACAAATTTTTTTATGAAATATAAAAAAAAGAGGATTAGATACATAGGGCATACATATCTGTAATAATCTTTATTACTATGGTGCAAACGATATCCTTATAAAATGATCATAAGCACATTATTTTAACTTCAATAGTATACATTAAAATATTTTTAATTACCAAATAATTATCTAATATTGATTAACATTTCTATTAACATTAACAAAATTCTAATAAGAATAAGTAAATAAACCATAATATATGTACTGTTTATGTAATGTTCCATTTTCATACATCCAGAAACCAGATGAAACTGTTTGAGCTTGTCTAATAACAGTTGTCTACTAGATAGGTTATATGTCACACGAACGAGTATAAATAGATACAAAAAGAGAGCCAACTACACTTATTGAGAGCGTGAAGTAACGATACGCCCTATGCAGCCAGTGTAGAATGCCTGCTGACGGTTGTATGTACACTTATGTCCATGGTGCACATGGTCTGTTTGTTTATCAGTTTTCCACATGATACAATACCAACAGTACTTATCAAGTTCACAGTGGGCGTACTTTAGTACGCACAAAAGTATGCAGGTGTATATAAAACTGTCAGCGGGCATCCTACCTGCTGAGTTGCATTTTTCCAAACGGGAGTACGCTCTCTTGTTCTATTTATACTCTTTGGTCATCCCATTGGTTGTGTTTCCTTAGTTATTCTCTCTTTTGTATTCTTAGCTCTGTCCACATTATCAAATGTTCTTTGACAAATAACTGTTGTATGCCCATATATAGTCATGACGTGCCTAAATATGGTCACAATGTGAGGTCATCATCACCATGTTTATTAAAATTGGATAGTCTGGACAGAGATTTAGCGTAATCTGCTATCACATTACAATTAATTATACTTACACAAAAAATATCCCTGACATATCCCCTACAATGCTGCTATTTTGCCAACACCTACTAATTACACCAGAGAGCATTATAAGCCTTTTGAAACCTAATGTTATTAAATTGATGATGCTGGATCATGTAAACATGTCGATTATAATAAATTATCTACTTTAGACTATGCTTTAATGCATTTTAATTACAATTTTTTTTTTATTATCTTGAAATAAATAAAATAATAATTAAAATACTTTGATTAGCTTTTATTTAATACGGATATTCAATATTTCATTTTTTTTTTTTTTACTGTTTTCAATTAAAATTATTTTGATAACTAAAGAAATAAATGATAATTAACAATGATTTAAACTTAAGCAATTGGCTGTTACTTAATATGAATTATTCAATAACTATTTAAATATGCGTTACAAAATTCATTAAACATCAGGTAATAATAAATATTATAATATAAGCCTACAAAATATTGATATTAGGCAAAAATTAGAAAATAATCTTAGACTTTATTTTATAATTCAAACCTCAATCAATATACAAACAAAGAACGTTTAATTCTGAATCATAGCTGAACTTATCAATACCATTGACTGTTCCCCACTCGTACCAAAATTTATTTCATTTCAGTAATGTATCTAACAGTAGCTTAAGCTTTTTCATAAATTGCATCATTACAATTTGATGTGTTTATCGACTCAAAAATGCAATAATGATTTCTATCTGATATAAATTTTTTTCTCAAAACCTGTGTCATAATTTACTAATAATTACGTGTCGTCCTGTGCCTGTGTGTAAATCATGGCCTTGTGTGTGTGCCAGTCGTTGCAATTAAACGGTAATATCGTTTGCTTTCACGTCTGTGGTGCACGCATGAATTAGATTAATGGTGAAAATAAAGAGATGGTGACATTTAACTTGGTAGAATGTGTGGTAAGTCTTCTAACAATTTATCACTCTAATAAGTCTCCGTTAGTCAAATAAATACAGCTGAGAAAATAATGTTAGGCAATTTTTGAGGTTTACACAATATCAATGTTTATATAATTTGGAATGTAAAACATATAATAATAAATAAAAATAAATATACAGTAGGTCAGTATGAGTTGAATTTGGGTCATAATTTGCTGATTAATTTTTTTTTTTACTAGTCTATTTTATTTTTACCTTTTTAATTTCCACCTTATTCCATTTCTTTTTAGGAACAATTTATAATTTTTGTATGTCTGGTGAATACGTAGTACATTTTCAGGCAATTTGGTGTACTGAGGTTTTTTTTTTTTGTCTTTGGTTTTATTTCCATCAGGCTAAAGTTTTGTCTTAGGCATGTTGATTTGCTATGTTATTTAAATAGAACCAGAAACATTTTATGTAGAAGTGACTCACTGTGTGGTTGTAGAGGCTACATTAGCTGGCTTAACATACAGGTAGGCCTATCAGCAAATAAGTTAGTTTGCCTTCCGATCTTGATCCTTCTTAAACTAAACCTTAACATTGTTGATCTCTGAACTTTGTCACTAACAGACTAGTAAGAATGTAGTACAGTAGACCTAGTTATTGTAGTTACAGCAATTTATCATTTATCAACATTCATTAATTTGTTTTACTATAACTATCACATTATGCAGTTTAACATTAAGTAGGCTTGATGTACACTGTAGTAAATGTACTTAAAAATATTTGTAATCTACACTGTACTTTGCTGTGTGTGTATAGCTGTTGAACAATACAATTCAATATCTCTATTGCTTAAGGCGAAATATAAAATGATCCTTCTTTATCGTCCATGATATTAGATAATTCAGGAGTCAATTGAATAGTTATTCATTTTTAATGCACTTTTGAGAAAAATGTCAGGACATGAAAGAGTGTCTTGAAAATATATCATACATCATATAACAAATAAAAAAAAAATTGATTGACATGTGAAATTCAATTGCAAGGTGATAGAGAAACATGTATATTTTGTTATTTAAGATACAAACTCCTCGGTGGAAAAAAAACTTAGATGTGATAACATGAAAGAAAACATTTCTCATAAACAGGTTGGAACAAACAAATCTACTGAAAGTCAAATGTTTTTTTAGAAATACATAATTAGATATAACAAATTCTAGTTTGAATTGCTAACAACACTATTAAAAAGCCGAAGAAAATTAGATGGATTATTAAGTGGTTGGATAAAAAGAATTGAAATATTTTACCTGGGGACAACATGTTACATGAAAAATACATTTTATGCTGTAATGCATAAACACTCTGATCATTTTAATTTTCTTCTTGTGTCTATATTTTTTTAGTATTAAAACACATAGTTATTTATTTATTTATGAAAACCTGGATAATCATTGGCTTATGGCACCAAATTTTATCATTTTTCTTAATTGCAGCAAACAATATATGTTTTGTTGGACACTGCTCGTATTATTGTGAGACAGAAACAGCTGTATGTGGGAAACCGGATATGTTGGAAGCTTCAGTCGCAGCCTACTTGCCACCATTCAAGATGGCTCCTCGTAAAACGTGGCGACACCCATGGCGCCGATCATATAGTAAACATAGATCAGCGGTGTAAGTCCAATATACATGTAAATTTTTCTAGTACTCAATAATGTTTGACAGTGTCCTTGAATGTATTTTTATTTATTTTTTCACATCTAACAACAAGTGTATTAAATCTGTACAACTTGAAGTACAGAACTATTATATTGAGAAAATTTACAGGAATTTTCAACCTAGAGCATACAGTAAGTTGATAGAAATATGATGCTTTCATGAAACCTTTTGCCAAGAAATAAAATTTTAAATGGAATGTCAAACAGATAAAATGTTAATTCACTAAAATGTAAAGAATTGGTTTTTATCAGAAATTTAGAATCAATATAGATGAAAGTTTATTATTAATATTTGCAAAATCTGCAACTTAATTTGAAAATAAAGTATTGATTGCAGTTGAAAGAAAGAGGAGATACTGTAAGAATGCCTCATCTGAAAGACTGCAAAAGTTAGAGATAAATAACCCATTAAATATTATACAAATATTGACGCTCATGAGGGGAATAGTAGAATCTGTTGCCACGAGGTGATGTGGAGACCGTAGCCTACTATTCAGCCCTTGAGAAGATAGTATTCTAGGTCTCCACATCACCAAGGGCTATGGATTTCACCATTTCCCAAATCTAGAGCAGTCAATATTTGTATTATATACTGTACCTCATAAATAGATTCTACAAGGCCTAAAAATGGAATGAAAAAAGTACCCACAAAGTAGGCCATAAGCCTAGACTACTTTTTGGGCCTACGCCGTCAAAGGGCCAATCTCTTGTTGTAGAGGTCGCAGTCCCCTTTACCTGTGACAGGTCAAAAAAGTACTATCATTTAATGTGATAGTACTTTTTTTCCCGGGAGTTTACTATCATTCAAACCTACGTCATAGGAGATAGTTGAAGTTATTAACAGCTTTTTAACCAATCAGATGCCTGGAATTGTATGTGATATGTAATATTTCATATCATGTATCCATTTCCATTTCACGTAGAAGCTTACAAAATTTATTTGCAAGGAGATGGCTTATATTCAGATAACCGTAGGAATATATTAATTACCAAACACTTAAGGAAATTGCTGTACTTTTTTCATCTTTAACAGGTGGGAGCATGATCCAAATTTCTGCCAGAAAACTGTGATGACGAAACATCCTTACAATTCTGGTCGGCGCCTATTGGACTTAATGGACATGTCGGTGTTTGATTTCCTAATCGGTGAGTCTTGATAGCTTTCTTCATTTGATTTTGCCATCAAAACCTGGCATGTGTGATAACAGCTTTCCACTTTGATATAGACAATCAACTGATGTGCGATATCGTCTTTAAAATAGTTATCAAGTTTCACGTTAATTCACCTTGGATATTCTTAGCTTGGTATTAGTTTCCCCGGTAGGTAATAATTATGCAGGTGATGTAGCTCCAAGGTTTCATATCAATATATTAAAGTTCTAATTTCCAAGTCAATAGTTGTGGAAATCTACTGATTACTTTTTTCTCATATTAGATTTTGAAACTCTTTTTTTATACTTCATTCTAATCTAACAGCAGGTATTTATGATTTTTGTGACTGTTATCATCTAAGCCTAAAGTCATGTAAGTAGAAAATAGAGCAGTCACGCCGTAGAGTGCATACCTCTGCCCCGTGTCTGAATACTAAACAGCACGCAGGCCGTGTATTAAGGGCCGATTCCATTATTTTCTTTTATGCTCAAGGGTAAACATATTTAATTTCTGTGACCTGCACCTTTTCCTTTGACCATTTCTTCCCCAAAATTTAATCATTTCTTTCTTTTTTTTATTATGATAATCCGATTCCATAGTTTTTGCGTAATCTTGCTGATGATGAATACATATAACCTCCTTGGCGGAAGTAAAAGTATAATTTATTTGATCAGATATATCTGAAATAAGAATGCAGTTTATCAGACAATGTCTTGTCTCTAGTATTGGTATTGGTACGTGCATTTTTAATGCTTCTTTTCCTTGTGGTTATAAAGCGCAATTATTTTCTCAGACTGTATTATATTTGATGAGATCAGACTTTGTAGTAGTGTACAGTATTGGCCAAATTCCTACAGATATAGACATAGTTTTTAATCAGATAAAGTATGTCTGAAACAAGCATACAGTTTTATGAAACAACCAAGCCAGTGCAACAGCATGAAGCAATTCAATTAAGGTTAACTGAATATTGTCACAGCATATTTACTGTAACATCATAATTGGTATAGAAACATGATAGTAGAAAGTCAGTATGTTATTACACTTGATAAATGAAGCTAATGGTAATTATCGCCTCCTCTGACAATTTACAACATTCTCGTACACGATATTTCACTTTGAGGATAAATACAACATCCATCAGATTGATTAATGAACTCTTATATTTAAGGTGAACATGTCAGTCCTACTTCATCAGAGCGGTATGGCGCAGCTGTTGCAGTTCCGTTTTTCAACATTGAGGTCCAAGGTTCAATCTCCCACATTGTATTTCGCTTGTGTCTTTAGGCAATGCACTTTACATCCAGGAGTACAAGTCTGGGGTTATTCCCAAGGAGCTTATTCCATATGTGCTTGTTCTAATGACCTGGGGATAATAATGTGAAGTACTTAAAGGCCTTGTTTGCATGCAGCGAAATTACATTTTTATTAGAATTAATGTTGCCTTAGGATTCTGTTTGATGGGTGTGCAGCCTCATTGTAGGGCCTACTACATATAATATGCATACTGACCATTAAGACAATATAATATTCACCTTAGAAAGTAATGCACATGACCATTAGATTTGTACTGTTAGTGATTTTTACCTCTGAGACGACAAGTAATCTGGGGCTATAAACTAAATATCTATGAAATATGACGAGACCGGAAATAGAGGAACACCGTTTCTTTTAGGTTTGCGACAACGCAAAATTACATAGAGACAAGGCACTCTATGAATAGTATGCATGTGTTTATTTCTGATTGGTCAGAAGAACAATTTTTGCAGCAATGGATTGAAAGTTAATTCATGATGATATTAAAAAACATTATGAACAACATTACACATACAGCGCTCATTCATGCCAAGCCATGCTGAAGTGCAATATACTTTTAAAATAATACATTTCTCCATGTACAGTATAATATTCCATCAGAATATATAGCTACCTGTATATTCTTTAGAATAATACATGTCTCATTTAACATTCATTAAATAATACTTCACAACTAGTTGTTTATTATTCCCAGTCTTCTGACTCATCGTTTTCATCTCAGCCATTTCTTACTCCAGGTAATAAATCTTCTTCTAACTCATTGCTATATCCATCATACTTCAATTATAAGTATTTGACCAAACAGATAATTACCTATGTGATCATAACAAATTGCTTATTATGAGTTTTTAAATTACTTGTTTTACTTTTACATGTTACTGGGGGGTTTAACATGAGAGACACACGTTCTGACCTCCATGCAATCTTAATATTGTATTCCTTTTTGTTTTTATTGTACTGTTATATTTTAACCTGGTTAAAGAATCAATAATTATCCATAATACTGTACTGTAATCTTTTGAGAGATTTATCAAAACTTAACTGAATAAACTGATATATGCCAATTAGGACCCCTGATTCGACTCCTTCAACACATGCATGTATAAAGTCATTCACACCATTCACTATGTCTGGGTGGTGTTTTTTTTTCCGTACTCTATTTATTAGACGTACTTGCTGTTCAACTGCTTGAATATATTTTAACAATTCCATGATTTTAACCTATCTACATTTATATCAAAAACAGGCAAATACACAAACAACAAGAGACACTGAGAAACCATCATAAGATAGAAAATGCCATTTATAAAAGCAAAAAAGTAATATAACAATCATAATTGATAAAAATATTGCTCACAAATCTATAAACATGAGTATGGCCCAGTAAACTACAGTAAATCAATACAAAAGTATTAGTAATATTAAAATCTGCATATTTCTACAATGATTGCCTTATATCCATTTCAAATATTGTCAAGGTTTTTTTCCCAAGAAACATTGGCTTAGTCAGTGTACAATGCATACAAGCATCAAAATGATTTTACATATGCCTGAGACTATATAAATAATTGAGTTGTCAGTTGGCTAGAAGAGGTAGAACAAAATAATACTGTAAGCATTAATATGGCTGGAAATGCAACATTAAATTACCAAATAAACAGAATGATTTACCAGTCATCAAAATGTTACATAAATCAGTCTGTTGGCGGCTGCATATACTAGGAAGATATACCCATGATGGAAGTGTAGCAGAATGGAGATGAAATAATTGAGATGTATTAATGTCTCCAGTATAGCAGGGAAAAGAATATCAGTAGCCTGGTCTAGAGAGGGCTTCTTAAATCATCTCTGCTTTATATGTCATGTTTGGTCAAACTGAGAGGTCTCATTTCTCTTAAATATATCCTGTATGAGTAAGGAACCTGGATCTCTAGCTTATAAAATGAGTAAAATTCTGTTTATGAATCCTTGGTTTAGGCTACTGTTGCATTTTTAATTTATATGCATAGCTGTTGTTATCTGTAGACTATTATTGTCTGGGTGTTTTTTTGTGCATCGTATGTGAAGTGGTAATGAGAATAAACAATTCATAATCGAACCTAATACTAGTAGAATCTTGAGGTGGTGCTTTACTAAGAGTACCACATTTGTAAAGTTATCTTTTGTTATTTGTTGTAGGGAACATGGACCGTCATCATTATGAGACATTTGAGTATTTTGGTAATTACACATACCCTATCCATCTGGACCATGGAAGATCGTAAGTACTTATATTAAGATAATATCGAATTTCATTCATGATAAAAACCAGATTAGGGTTGTTTCTCAACAGTAGGTTTCAATCTGCTTTCTTTCTTCAGCTGAATGACATTGGCATGTGTCCATTGCATACGTCACTGATGATTTAATTGCGACAAATGCACTCTGCAGTGTTGCGCATCCTCTATGTACCAATTTTAAGCTATTTACGCAGTGTTTATATTTTCTTTTTTTCCAGGTTTGGGAAGCATAGCCATGATGAACTATCAATTTTAGCACCACTATTTCAATGTTGCCAGTAAGACTATTATACTTGTTTTCATCATCATCACAATAACAATCCATAATTTACCTTCCCTCTATGAACATAATTCTCTTTACATTACAGAGGATTTTTTTTTATTGACTTTGTTTATGTAACAATTTGTTTATGTATTTTAAAATTGTTTATTTTTTGACTGTTAATTTATTGTATTCTTAATGTAAAGCGCCATTGAACATGATTATTCATGAAAAGGGCGCTATAGAAATTAAATAAATAAATAAATGTAACTTAATATTGATGAAAGATTTATGTAGCCAACAATTTGCAAACCCAACACTGCTATTCAATGTATCTCAAATAATGTAGTTGTGTTGAATAAATTGAAATATTTATCATATAATGATTTTTTATCTGTGTTTTAGACTTCGTTTATCAACTTACAGAAGATTAATCATTTTATCGAAAGAAGAGTACAAACTTAGTGACGTGATGCGGGAATCGTTATCACATGATCAGATCACACCTGTTATACTTGAGGCACATCTCGAGGCTCTTGACCGTCGTCTTGGCACCATACTACGAACCATTAACCATTGTGTCCAGAAGATGGGCGAAGAAGACGTCTTGAAGCCCGAGCCTACCTTTGAATCGTACCAGGACCCACCAAAATTTAACTCAGATGCAGATGAATTCTATTAAGCATGTCTAGTGGAAGTTGCTGAAGGTGATGATGAACCTTCCTTTTATTGTACCCAATTCCACTAAGCGCCTCAAATGCTGTTTTGCAAGTCTCACTACGTTGGCATCATCAAAAACTATCTTTCTGCAGATATGCTTTGAGCATTCATGAAATCTTCAGAGAATCTGAAGGGATATTACAGTACTGATTAATAAAATAAGAACTTTCAAGTAATATGTTTTCTTTTTTTATAATTGTGTTAAGATTGAATAATTATATTTTTGATGAAAAAAGTTTTTACTTTTACATTATGTTCTGACAAAATTATATACATTTCAAATTTGTTATAGTTTGCTTAATTGGTAGTAGAATAGATTTCATTTCTCGCATTATATTTAGGTTTATATGCTGAATTTGAACAAATTTATATAAATATATATTACATTTATTATTATATATATCCTGTCTTTCATTTTCAATGACAGACATTATATTTGTCTTTCACTTTACCAACCCCCAACCTTTTTAGCCAAAATCTTTTTTATACCTTGTATTAAACAAACTTTAAATGTGTAAGATGCTTCAGAGGATGGGAAAACAATTTGTTTTAGTAAAATAGTTTTTGCCAAAATTATCTAGACGGAGAAAAAAATTAAAGTTTATTGACAAAAAAAAAAAAACCAAATGTGAGTGACATGTATGAGGTAAAAATAATTAGTGTACGGAACTTTTAGGTACTCGCTCAAAATTTTATCTTGTCATCGTAAAGATTATGTGTTGCAATGAAACAATTTAGATCAAATTGGTTAATGCTGTACTGAATTTTAAAGGGGTGGATTTTACAATTGAGCCTGTACTCAGAATGCAAGTTAGGGCTAGCTAGGCCTCAGTAATAAGCTCATCTTAGGATCTTCGGCCTAAAAGCAGTCAGCTCTGCCTAACATTAGCATATTTGTACTGAATTATTGTGCAATTTATGTCATACTCAGAGTAATTGTTATGTAAGACATTTAAACATAACATGAAGATATTTGAATTTATACCTCTGAAGTTAGGGATTTTGTATGAAGATTAAGTTATGGGGTGGATATATACACTGTCTCTTGGGGGGGGCCTTAAACTGAGGAATTTTACTAAATTTATTTACATTGGCACATAGAATAAAACAGTCATTAAAAATTTGCTCTCTGTTGAGAAAACCACCTTTGTTGTTTTTGCAGTAAGAACATTTTATGTAGATTGACTTCACAGTTAAATTTAAGAAAATCATGGACAATTGTATTTAGCAATATTGAAGAATCTTCAAATAATTTCATTAGGTTTACTTGGTTTGAAATTATAAACCACAACTCAGTAATACTGAAGAATGTTAATTTCATGATTTTAATGTTTATTTTGAACATTACATTCATGAAGTACATTGATGATACATTGGATTTGCCCATGATCGTTTTTATTTGCTTGCTCTAGTTTGTAGCGCAAGTCAGAAAATACGTTTTTAGAGGGTAAAATGCATCAAATCTGCCTTAGGCTTGACTAGAATATTAAGGCTGCATTTGTAGCAATTTAGCCGAGCTGCATAAATGAAATAGGTGGTCTTATCAGAATATCAAAGGGGCCTAATTTTATTGTATAAGCTAGATGAACTAGTAGATTAAAAAAATATATATAACAGACATACTTCTTATAAGGTTTACAGAGAAGCACTCAATACATTTCTAAGGCTCTGCACACACTATCAAATTTTATTTGTTTGTGTAATTTGCCCATATATTATGTCATATTACACCCAAATTTGATGATGTCATATTACACCCAAGTATGGGTATATCACATTTTTTTTTGTCACATAAAATTTGATAGTGTGGCCAAAGCTTAAGAACAGTTTAGGAATTTTATGACACTGGACCTAAGATTGTGAGTAATTATAATAAGCAATTGCTTATCAGCTCTCAATGCGCTGAACATATTACTACCCCGGTCACTGGATCAAACACGTATGGAACACATACTCAGCTCCCTGGACAGAATTCCATAATATTGCAGCTAGTAATCAGCGCAGTTGTGTTCGAACCTACCAGGTACCCACTTGTACTCCTGGGTGGAGAGAGGCAACCGTAGATAAAGTGCCTTACCCAAGGACACAAGCGATTTGCACAGCGAGAGTTTTGAACTCCCGACCTCAAAGTTGGGAGTCCAAGCCACAACCGATGCGCCAACCAACCTCTACAAGCTAGGTGAGAGCTTTAACCACAAATACAACTCTCATTATTTATTAAGCAATTTGCATGCTTGTGTCAGAGGTCAGTCAACATAAACCTGTGTAGTAGATTGACCTTGATACGAGCATGCACAGTTATAACTACAAATTGGCTATTTAGGAGCTTTCGATTGCATGACGACGGTAGAACGTAATGACGTCATTAAAAGTCACCTGCGCATGCAAGAACGTTAAAGGTCACCTCGTTGGCCAAATCTACGTACGCAGAGAACGTAGGATGCCAGATAGGACGGTCACGCATGAGTGATTCTGTTCTAGCGCCACGTCATCGCACAAATCAAAAGCTCCCTATTGACCAATCAGAACAGCGCTAGGAATATGCGTGCATCTCTTGTGCCACAAACGCATGTGTTCGCGTATGTTTTAATACTGTCGTCTTGTGGGACCTTAGCAACGGTATCCAAGGGGTGGGGCTTAAGCAGAAAGGTCCATTGTGCAAATTGCAGCTGGCTTGCTTATACTTTAGTAGTACTAAACTAATGTAAGGGTGAAATTGTATGCTGCGTTTGCTGTACATAGGACGTATTTAGAAAAATATTTTAATTTTTTAGTTTTTCTAAGCCATGTACACATATATATCTACGTACTGTTCATACTATTGCCAAATTTATGATTATAAATATCGGTAGTACATAAAAGGAAATTAATTAGTATTTTAAAAATAATCAACATACTTTAATCTATAGACTATAAAAATACGTACCTTTTGTTTTATATTTTATTTATTTGTCCCAATACAATTTAAATCAAGATGTGATTGCACTCAACATCACACAGAGATATTCGAAAATTAAAGTAAATCACTGGCAGATTGGGGAGGAGATATTACAAATAAATGTACACATATATATATACTGAACATAACTTTGTCATTGTTGTTTTATGCACACATACATTATATTTTATTGATTTATTAATTCCCATTCATGTACAACAGGGAGTGTCTTGCCTTAGAGAATAGGAGTGAGGATTTCTAAACCAAGACTCATTTTGCATCCTAGCGAATGCTGTGGTTTTCGGTGTGAGAAAAATTATCCTGTTTCGATAGTATTTCAACCCATGAACCTTTGTCGTAAAGTCAGACATATTAGGCTACAGTTTCACTCCATATGTAGAAAGTTTTGTTTAATTATTTGAACCTAATTATTACATTTACATTCATTAAATATTGAATACATGTATGTATGTAAATTGATGTCCATCATCAAGAGAGTGTAATAAAATAACATCTGTGATTGTTAGCCAAAGAATATACTGTTGAAGGTTATATTTTTAATTAATAACAGTGTAACAGTTGTCATTGGTGGTTATATCATTAATCTGTATTAGTTAATTTCAAGCTCTCTCCACATTATCGTATTTTATTTGACAAAAATCTGTTGTATGCCCATATAGTCATGATGTGCCTATATATGGTCATGATGTGATGTCATCATGACCATATTTAGGCATGTCACATGTTTTGTCAAATAAAATTTGGTAGTGTGGACAGTGCTCAAGTTTTACGTATTTAAATTTTGTTTTAATATTCAGCATCCATGATGAATATACATCATTTTGCTTGTTATTTTCATTATAAAAAAAATACACACTATTAGTTATAAGTGAGTAGTATTTTTAAATTGCAAAAAATGTTAGTTTGCTGGTTTTGTGTATGGAAGAATGAACATACTGTAAAATAAGGCACATGCAAGAATTAAGATAAACAAAATGTTATTAGAAAGAGCATTGTTACAACTGTTGTTAACATACCTTTAATTTATTTTAATTTCTGACTTGACTGATAATGCAACATGTATCTGGGGTTGATGCGGGATTTTTTTTGGGGGGGGGGGAGTGTGCACTGTCTGCACCACCTATGCATCTGCCCCAGTTGGTGCTCAGCATGATGTGTGACTGAATACCCACAGTATTACTGTGACTTACCACTGCTTCAAAAGTATATTCCTGTCTACCGTTTTCATGTAGATACATCTCCAGTATACTTAATTGGATTTAACGATAATAAAACACTTAAATTCAAATCACTTTCAGAAAAACATGATTTCAAGAAAAAAAAACTTTAATTGTAGTTATTTTATTTGTTAGTAAATCAACTGTTTAAGTTTAAACAACATATATGTATAACACAACTTTCATTTCTTTCAATGTGCATTCATTATTTTTGTCTTTCACTTACTGGGTGGAACATGCACGTTTTGATTTTGTAAGCTCTCATAGAGATGTAAAGATATTACATTATATTCTTAGATACCTTGATAACATTTAAATTCCAAATGAGATTTGGTATTCGGTGATGTACTTTACACTGAATTCTTCTTAAATATAATGAAGTACATCACATTTTTAAGCATTTTATGTATGCAAAAATTGAAGTTTATTAAGAATTTGTGCATGTATTGTGTGAAATATATGAAGAATTAGTAATTATAGATAATATGATGATATATTGGAATGTAATTCCATTTATAGATAAAATTTTAAGGTTTTTATATTTGGCTTTATTTCAAAAGAAAAGTTAATAGATGGACTAATATTAATCACTTGGAATTCTTGTCAGAATAAGCTCTATGATGTGGTACAGTGTATGTACTGCAATGCATAAACATGATAAATGTTTGTAAAATAAAAAACTGCTGGAATAATTATAAACAACATAATGAATTATCTCTGGGTTTGTTTTTTTTTTGTATTACAGTAACATTTTATTTTCAGTATGTTTGTTCAAAAATATATATAGTAAACTTAAAAATCACCATGTGAGGAGACACTGTAAATTTGTAGTTTAGGTGCAATTGTTACTTTTTCAATTTTTTTTAATTAGATAACCATTCAAAATAATGTTTACAGTGATTGAAAATCATGTTTTCCAGTAAGGTCATAAAATGAGAGTACCTGTATAATGAATATTACATTATTTTTATACAACTCTAGAATACTACTTAAACTTCTAGATTAATCAGATGTTGCTTAAGTAATATGCATAACATGTTGTTTGAAAGAAACGTTTTCATGAAGACTGCTGAAAGCGGGCAGGTTCTTGCAGACGTGATCGTACTGCATTATGTCTGTAAGCAATAAAACGAATGCTATATTTTAATTATGTGTACCGTGTTTAAGTTAGCGAGTCAAAGAGCTTTAGGATAACGATGAATGATGAAGGGTACTTGGCTATAAATTTCAAAATCGGAGGTCAGATCTCGTAGGCCAGAGGGAAAATAATGTAGGAGTGCCAACACTGATGTCGTAAAATGTATTGTTATAATTCTGGGTAAAGAGAGACAAAAGTTCCTTGCCCAAGGACACAAGCAATATGCAAAGTGAGGTTTTGAACCATCAACCTCAATGTAATAATAATTTTAATAATTAAATAATTATATTGATAATGATATTATTACTAATGATGATAACAATAAGACAACACCGGCTGCATCAGTGGTGACGATGACAAGAACCACAACCGATGATGATGATGATGTCAACAACGATGATGCAGATGATGATGACAACGATGCCAAAAATGGTGACCATGACAGTGTTAGTGCCCGTGGGACTTCTCAACAGTACGCAACTAATATATGGAATTAAATAGTATTTATACTGTATTTATAGTGTTTATTACTACAATCATTATTACTATTAATATAAATATTTTAATTATTTCTATTATTATCAATCGCCCCTTTCTGTGTGTTCAGTGCCTTACTTGTATCACTGTTACCTGTCCAAAATCTTGTGTTTTAACAGTAATAAATACCTAGCAGGAAATGTTGAAAGTTGTTTGACCAACATAGCTGGTAAAATTTGTA